GCGTTCACTTTTTTTGTTCATTTCTTTGCCGTTGTTTTGTACGACTACAACGTGAAACTTCCAAAAACTGTTTTATGGAGGAAATGTCGTACTTGTTCTCGTTCACTATTTTTTCACTGCCGCTCATTTTCTTCTTGCATTGGTGGCCGCTAGCATTTCTCATTTTGTCACCGCTGCTACAAAATGTTCATGTTGTTCTTTCAACAAAAAAACGTCTGCTTTGTTTTTTATCTCTCGCTCTAAATGTCTGTCGCTCTTTTTCTCGTTGAGTTTCGCTTTTTTTCGTTGAGTTTCTCTTTTTTTTCTGTCTTTCTTTTGCTCTATATTCCAAATTTGTGGACATGACAATTAATCTAAGCTTAATACTTTAGAAAACACGGATACAGAAACAATTTCCGCTTTCCGGTTTCGTCTTTATTGAATTTTTAGCTGCCTCTCCTTGTAAAGACGCGAGTGGCTATGCGATTTCCCGCCAAAATAACCTCGATTTGCATTTGGGCCGCCATACCTGTTGATTGAGTTATTTTACATTGGTATGCCTGTGGTGAGGACGGACGGTCGGGTGTATGGTCACGTGATTACTAAATTTTCTCAGATGGGTAGATTACCACATTTTCTTACACATGGTGCTCCGCTGCGCGCGCTTTGCGCGCGAGAGCTCCGCTATAACCGTTAGCGATCTTCCTTCTTGAGTCTTCCAAAGCCTAAGTGAGCAAGCAATTGAGTCTGAACATAGCAATATAGGACCGTGAATATGAAAGCTGGGGAAGCTAACCACAGATGACTGTGATCAACGGCGGCTGATGTTGGGAGCCCCCCGACCGTGCAAGTGTGACCAAATGAATTAATTAAAGGGATGTTTCTATTGGTCAGTCATAGTTCCGGGCTCATGCCAGTTGTTCGAAGGCCGATTGACACTGACCCGGGATTGCTATTTTAATCTCGATGGGGGTGGGGGGTGGGGGGGGGCGAATATACTCAGAAAAAGGCTTCGCCCCGAGGTCCGACCCCTTATCCTTTTATATACCATTTTTAACAGAAAAGGCTACCCTTTCGTATACCTTCAATTGACAAATGATACCTCTTTCACATACCTTGTTTAGAGCTAGGGCTTTGCACCCCTTTCAACCGCTGTAAATGCAAACGTTGGAGAAAACAGTAGTGAAGTTATGGTGAGTTATCAAAAGCTGTTATGAAACTTTAAAAGGGTTTAAGTAAATAGTCTTAACCAGTACCTGTTAAAGGTGTCTAGTTGCTTAAAGCGTTTCATCTGCCACCGTTTGTGCAATTCTAATAACCGTATTTAATTTCAGGTTGAAGAAAGAATGTCCCTCTGCCAAGCGCCCTTTATATTCTATGCTCTCGTAAGTTTTTCCATGCATTAAAAGTTGCATGGAAGATGACGAGTGTCTAAGTTGCAACTACGACTTCGTATCTCAGTAATGGGACAAAAGCGTAGTTTGCACATGAATTTGTAGACAAGGACTACTCCATTTACACAGAGATGTTTTGACAGACCTTTATGTGTACTTTATCTCTATTTGTCGACATTAAAAGACCAACTTATGTTTCAAGGAAGAGATAAGAACAAACTTTGTTAGTATTAAAAAAAGCACTTTTGGATATTTAATCAAGGTGGCTCACAACCGCTTTCCAGAGTCTTTAAAAGATGGGACTGCGGCAACATCAATGAATTATTTTTACACAACACTGTTTTATTTTAATCTACAATAAAGGTACTAAATAAATGCCTATATTTTTTGTAAATCATTTTAAAAATTAACGCTTCAAAGAAAAGATGCTGAGGCTTTTCTCTGTCCCTTATTAGAGAGATAAAGATTCACGTTTACGCCAAACGGCAAACGTCAGATTCAAGTTGAGAATTTCTCAGAATAGAAAATAAGCAGATAGAAACTCTCCAGAACAATTTGTATGTATAAAACTGGCGTGAAACTACTTAGTTTTTTAAGTTGAAGTAATAAACAGTTAACGACAATTAAGGGGAAAACTTGGTCACGTGGTACTGAAATTCACGTTTGCCGTTTGGCGTAAACATGAATCTTAATCTCTCTATCAATGATAACCACAATGAGGTTTCTAGTTATTATTTATTATAGATTTATAATGGAAATGGGATCATTTGTTTCAATTGTCAGCAAATTCAGGATATTTAGTATTCACCAAATCAGTAAATAGCAATTTTCGCGCGTTTTGATTGGCTCCCGTAACTCGGAATATCCTTGGCTATTTATTGTTTTGCGTCCGGAGCCAAGATGGCTTCTCGTTTCGAGACATTTTTCAAAGACGAAATTTGAGCGATAAATGATGTCGCCATACAAACAAATACCAAGAAAGCGACGAACTTTGGCTTGTACCCACTAAGTGACGTTTTTAATTTACAAATGAGAAAAGTTACTTTTTACAGTTTCATCCTACTGCTTTGGTAAATACTAAAACAACTATCCCCCTCAGGGTCGGTGAACAGCGCTAGATATATACC